AACGTCTACTAAGTGATCGTGGTCCCAACTTCACGTCCAATCTGGCCAAGTCACTGTATCAGACGTTGGGGATTAAGAAGTTGTTCGGAGCGGCGTACCACCCGCAGACACAAGGTCTGGTGGAACGTTTCAACGGAACGTTGATGGGCATGCTACGTATGTTTGTGAGCGAGACGCAGACGGATTGGGACGTGTACCTGCCAAGGGTCCTATTTGCGTACCGGACGGCATATCACGAAGGCCTCGGTGACACCCCGTTCTTTAGTCTGTACGGACGAGATCCTGTACTACCTATCGACTTGGCGTTCCTAAACACAGGAAGGGACCGGAAGAGTAACGAAGTTGCGACGTACCGCCGGAAATTGTATCGCTCGTTGCGTGACTCGCGTCGTCTTGTGGAACGACAACTACTCAAGGCTCAGGATCGACACGAGCAGAGGTTGGACAACCAAGTGAAGGTGACATAGGCAGAAGGAGACGCTGTCTGGGTGTACCAGTACTTTAGAGCCCGAGTAGGGGAACGCAGAACGAAGAAGCTGGCGTTCTCCTGGCACGGTCCCTACCGTGTTGTTGGCCAAGTCGGGGAGAACGCCTACAGGATCGCGATTCCGACGCACCCGAACAAGGTCGTCACGGTAAACGTCAACCGTCTGAAGCGCTTTCAAGGACGCTGGAGTCGACCCTATGCAGACGAGAAGCCTGACAGAGTCGAAGAAGAAGAGGATGAGGACGGCACGGGTCCATTGGACGTCGAGGACCTGCCGTCGACGAGCTTTGTGGAACGTCTCTCTATTGGCGAAAAAAAACGGCGTTCTCGGGTGTGTCGTCGCCGATAGTGGACGTGATCGCGAAGAGAGTCGAAAAGCGTGAGTTGCAGTATCTCGTACTCACCGCCACGTATGAGACGTTCTAGTTGTCTCGAGCGGCGTTGGCACCGGAGTTTGGAACGATGATACGTGCCTTTGAGGACGCAGATCGGAAGAAGAGAGGTCTGCCGGAGTTGCGTCAGAACGTCAGGTTGGTCGAAGTCAATGCTGATGTCGACGACGCTGAGGTGTTGTTCTAGCTGGCAACGGGAGCCGGTTAGAATGCGTGCGGTTGTGATACTGCACGAGAGTGTTTGGAGCTCGCTGAGTCTCAGAACACTGAGTGATGTGTACATATTTACTATTTTGGAACGACCACGGGTTGTTCTTTGGGTTTTACGGAGTTGGGTAGTTGGGAACGTCTCGAGCATACGAAGACTGAGTGTGTCGGGGTGGAACGCGAAGTTGTTTGTGAAGCATCAGTTTGGAACGCGAATGAGTTTGCGACGCATCACTTTGGAGCGCGAAGGAGTTAGTGAAGCATCAGTTAAGCGTCAGTTCGGAACGTGAAGGAGTTTGTGGACCATCAGTCTGGAAAGTGAGAAAGTTTATGAAGCGGTAGTTTGGAGTCCGAGGGAGTTCGGATGCGTCGGTTTGGATCAAGAAGAAACGTTTTGAGAGAGATTCATTGACGATAGAAACAAAGAGTCAGGAACAAGGCACGGCAACGAGAAACGACGGAGCGTTACGGTTAAAAGGGAACGAGAGCTACGAACGGCTACATCGCAAAGACGTGCTACTTGGCGGCCTTCTTCTGGTCGTCCTCATCTTTGTCCTTGTCGCTTTCCTCGTCGCTGTCCTCGTGCTCGACGAATTCCTCCTCTTCCTGCTCGTCTTCGTCGTCGTCGGCTTCGGACTCCTCGTCGTCGTTACCTGAAGCGTCTTCGCCGTCGGCCGCAGCTTCCTTCTCTTCGTCCTCGCCTTCATCTTCGAACTCGGACCACTCGTCGCGGCGACGTTCCGTACCGGACGGTGGACGGACGGTTGGAACTTCGTACGTTCCCGCGGTGATCTGGGCCATAATGTCGTCTTGAGCCAGCTTGACGGCGTGGTTGTTTACGAGCGTCTGCCACGGTTCCTCGTTCTTCTCACCAGCCCAAGTTACGTTTGGCTTCGTGCATGACATGGTGTCGCGGCGAATTCGCGCTAAGGCAGCTAGGGAGAGCCGGCTCTTCTCGTCTGCATCCGGATTCAGCGCGTCCGTAGACTCGAACAAGGAGCGCATGCTGGGGTACCCGTAAGTGTCGATATTCGACGGGTTCAGCGCGTTCTCAAGCGTAGCGTCATAGCGTTCCTTGTCCTTCTGCTTCAGGGTCGCTAGGTCCTCGGCAATGAGTCCGTTGTAGGGGCGGCCATCGCGTGTGGCTCTGCCAAGCTGGCCCCCGAGCCAATACATCTCAGGGCGCTTCTCCGACATCTCGAGGAAGGCATAAAAGCCCCATGTCTCTATGCAAATACTGGTGAAGGCCCAGCGGGCTTGGACGGCGCGCATCTTCAGCTTGCGACGCTGAGTCATGGCCGCTGCAGTGGCAAGAGGAGCGTGTAAGGCCCACTCCCAGAAAAGCACGGCGATGTGTCATCCAGAAACGCCAGTGTGCGCGTGACTGAACTTGATTGGATCGTACCACATGGGACGTCCGGTTCAAGGGTACGCAAGGCGCCAGGGCTTCTTACCAAGAGCCTCTGCCTTCGCCAAGATGGCAGCAATAGCCCGACGAACGGGAGCAGGAGCAGCGCGACTCACGTCGAGAAGATGGCCGAACTCGTTGGATGGAACGTGCGCCTTCTTGGTTTTGCTGGCGACGCGAGCCTTCTTAGCGGACGACTTGGAAGTAGAGTCGTCACCGCTGGACTTACGCTTGCCTCGCACGGGCGACTTAGGCGACTTTTGTGTCTTCTTGGAGGGCGACTTCGACTGCTTGCTCGACGACGTTGTCGACGCCGTAGCGGAGCCTGAAGAGGGAGTGGAGTCTGACGGCGCGGGGAGGGCCACGACGGCTCCTTGGAGCGAAGCGTCGGTCTGACCATTCAGGATGTCCTCGGCGAGCTGGTCCAAGAACTGGAGACCCGACGACATGCTGTTGGCGCCCAGGCGCGCGCGCAGCTCGGTCCAGAACTGCTGCTGGAAGGCCCGCGCAGTGTCCCCAGGGGTGCCCTGCTCCTCATGTTCGAGGGCGGCGTTGAAGAACGCCCGGAAGCGCCTCAGCTCGGCGGCGGTAAGTCGCGTGGACATGGCGAGGAGCGGATTGTGAAATGAGAGAAATCCGAAAACAGGAAGTTTTTACTTGATGGCTGCCAAGGGGCACGCGAGAAGGTTCGACAGTTGGGACGTGGCGTCGACTGAGGGACGCAATGATGCTTGGTGACTTGGGCGGACAAGGTTTCGGGTGAAGAACCTTCCTAACGGCTAACGGTCTGGAGGAACTGCTGTTGTGACGATGTCACTTGGAAATTGATGGCGATGTGGGGAGGATTAGCGGAATGGGCGGAGCAGACAAACTGGACGATGGACATCGAAGTGGCGGACGAGATGAGAGTCGTCGGCAGCGCTGTGATGGGGATAGTTATCTGGATTGCAACGACGCCTCTGCGGAACGTGTCGTGGACGTTCCTCGACGGAACGATCGAGAGCGTGCGTGCCATCTACTTTTTCTGGTACACTTGCTGCGATCGCTACTTGGTGGCGGCTCGAAACGCCCATGCCGCTGCAGTGCCACCTCCGGAGTACGCGTGCGCGCTAGTGAAGCTACTGTTCCTGGTTCCTATCGCGGTGTTCCAGGACTACGAGTCCCGATTCGGGATTACGGGTCGTATGTGCCTTAAGTGGTGTGAGGCGTTCCACCATTCGTGCTGCCTGTACGTTCCAGATGCGAGTCTTTTGCTATGGGGAACGTCCTGCCGGTACGCTCGTGCCACTAGCGAAGCTGTGGTAGCTGTTGTGGATAGAGTTAAAGACTTCATCGTTGGGAGCTACTTGCTGACGTCTCTACTACTGTCAATCCTAATCTACCTGCCCCGCCTGGTGTACGAGAGCGTCGAGGGAATACTGTGTGGCTGGATAGGAGTGACGCTGGTTGTGTTGATCGTGGACGTCTACCTGGAATTTGAAATTGGCTGTTGCTACTGGAATTTGGCTGTGTTAGCTGTCGGTTGCTACAGTTATGTGATGCGATATTATGAAGGGCTCCGGCCGAGCGCTATGGACCAGAATGATAAGGCGGCGAGACGCAAGTGGGAAGGACTGGCTGGTCGTATAGAGCGTCGTGAGGAAGGAGAGCGAGTTAGCGTGGAGCGACTGCGAGGCATGCAGGCCGAAGGAACGTCGTCTGGAGTAAGGAACGAGAGTCCGAATGCAAGTGGAACGTCACGTGGGAACGTTCCAGATCTGACTGTGGAAGACACCGTGCGACAGGCTCCAGGCGATGTGGCTCGGCGAGGTCACCGAGCGTCAGTCGGGGAGAATTGTCACGGTGTACAGTTAGATGGAGGATTGACGATGCTGGCTGACTGCCTGCAGAAGGTCTACACACTCCAGACTCTCCGGACCACGTCCAAGCAAGCGGGACCTGCGGCCAAGACAGTGACGTTCCAAGTGTGAAGTCGTGGAGCAGCTGGTCGTGGCCGGGAATTGGAGCTGGACCGCCACGCACGAGGGATCTGCTAAAAGGTAAGAAGCTCTAAAAACTCTTAGCGAGGTGAAATGAGGAAGTCAGTCGTGGATTTCCTTCTAACAAGCAACATAAGAATACATCAATTTTTACATTACTATCACAGTAGTGTCGCTAATACTACTACCTCCTACGTCGGCCCAAGATAATCACGACCCCGATTAGAGGAAGCCCGCGACAAGGGCTCCATGTCGCTCCCACGCTCCAGTATATACGTCTGTGTAAAATTCAAACCGTAACCACGGACGGAGAACCCAAAGTTTGCCTCTACTGTATCAATAACACACGGGTGACCGATCCCAAAATCGGCTGGTCATGATCAGGCTTCGTCTGCGCGATGCTTGATTTACGAGACAACAGGCCAGTGAGAATCTCGCGGAAGACAGCGAGGAGATTTCCAGTTGCCTCGCAAGTATTTCCGCGACGAATCCACTGCATAGCAGTAGGGAAATTTTCGTATTTACGATTAGTTTCGGGTGAACAGGCGTAATTTATGCATCGATTGTGCAAAGAATTTCGTGTCTTCGTGATACTGTTGTCTCGCTCGAGCGCCCATGGCTGCGCGTTGCTTGGTGGTTGTCGATGATACGAAGTGCTGGATAGCATTACATAACCCGCTAGAGTTAAATGTAGCCAACAACCCCTCAGTGTCGTTCAGTCCTCGTTCACCTTCGTATTTACCTCCAAGAAGCATCTTCGGGTGACGCTCAGATTCTGTTGAAATCAAAACTCCCATTTGACTCGATAGGATCAGTTCGTTCATTGGGGGAGTGTCCGTGGTTACCACCACTCCCCCCGATGCCCGCGCTTGGTTAAGGTAGTGACCGTAGCCCTCAATTCGACTTGGACACATAAAGAAGGCCGATTTCGGCTATCAACTTGTTAAAGTCTTTGAGGCTCCCAACATACCGTGCTTTGATTTGGACAGGACTGCGAGCACGGTTTAACGAGAGTTGGTATGTCCGTGGAAATAGACGGTTGTATGAGCTGTCATCGATAAAGACGTCCAATGGAGGCACCCCGGTGACAGAACCCAGCAGTCGACAAGCTGTCGCGTACCTTTCCAGCCACTGGAACCAGCCGTGTGGATAAATTTCACACCGGAGAAGTCT